CGATGAGTAACAGATAGAGAACCAGGATGAGAAGTTTAACACTTTATCGCTTATTCCATACCACAGACTAAACTAAATGATTGTAGACTGATTTAACAGAAGGTGAGCTGTGATCTGTCTGGCTTCTATAAATACTGCATGGTCACATCACAAAGAATATTGCTCTCGCAAATTAAATTTGGGTATGGCTTGGTGAAAATAGACATCCCTTGTCCCTGCATATATACCAATTATAGTGTTTTTCCATGTGATAACCCGTCAATAATCAAATAAGTCAAGTATGTAATGTCACATCGATAAATCACGAAGCTAACGACGTGTTACGAAACAGTGACTGTAGGTCACGTATCAAGATAAATCAACTGATGTCTACTTCCTTCAGAGACGGCAACGGCATGGATGTCGTAATACAACACATACGCAAGAAAGTAAAACATACTCAAGATAAAAGTGCGTTTATTCAATGTTCCATTCTAACGGCGATACATTGGCGACAGCCCTCAGCTTGCGATTCGGCACGGGTGGCCCAGTCGTCTGAGGCGCCGCGATTCGCTGTGCATAGCTGCGTCCCTTTGGCACACCAGAAACCTATGATTGTGGGTTCGAATCCTGGTTCGCCCCGATTATGTTTCTAGGTTTGTCAGCACCATACCCGTGCTCGTGGGTTTCACCTAAGTGGTAAACGTCTGAGAGCTGCATCCCTTGGGGCTTTCCTCCCACATTCAGCTGACACGCCGCGATATAACTGGAATACTGTTAAAAGCGGCGTTAAACCCAACTCACTCACTCATGGAGTGATAGCTTCTGTGGAAAAAAGGACAATGAATGATCGAAGGTAATGGTTTTGAAACTAGCCCGTGAATTTGATGTTTCTGAAGGTAGCATTGAAATCATCATTCACACAAGAGACGTGGCATCAAACATGACGTCGTTGTATCCGTACAGACCGTCCATTCGACCTGTGTCTATATTCACAAGGCCGCGACTCGCCAGACAGATACCTTCTGTACGACGTTAGGATTCCTACAGTTTAAGTTATGTAATCCTATCTTTGTTTCAGTTTGAAACTATTTCAGTTGTATCACGGTGACAGAACACATTTATCAAGTCCGTCTGCGTTGAACACATACTTCCCTGAAGTTAACGTCTATATTACGAACGAGTAGCAAACACGACAGAACAACATAAATACATCGGTAGATGTATCAAAGCCTTGATCACAGTCTCAACTGTATGCGTCACGCCAAGGCCATTATTTGTTAATACATCAACATTTTTATCTGAAGTCCTCTTTTGTCCACCTTATACAACTTCAAATTGCATTACAACATAGAGAATGCACTCATACATGTACATTATTCGACGACATATGTCACTTTGGAGAAGTAAACGAAAACCCAATTCTTTAATATGACGATAGTTAACTGCAATCTCAACTATAGTAACATGAAAAACTCGAGTGTTCTTCAATGTATTTTGAGTAGAATGTTTTGGAAATAAAAGCTATTTTAGCAGTACAGATGGATTCATTTTGGGGTGGGTAGATTGTGGTTACTAAAAAGGTTCAGGGTCTATCGTAGTATAATTTCATTGTCAGCTTCCTGTATTAGAGAAATACAATTAGTCACACAGCAAAAACACATTTATGAATACATAGATTTTGTTAACCTCTGCGGGGGATACGGACCTGCTACCTCTTGATTTGTAGTCCTTCACGCTTCCACCTGTGCTACCGACTATTGTCGTCACAAGTGTCAAATTTCCTAGTCAACATTAACCGATTTTGGTTAAGTTGTACATTATTATGTTAATATTTGTCCGTTGCCCGTTGGCAGTCCTGGTGGTATATGTGATATGCAAGTGCCTGTGAATCTGATTTCCACATCTAATGTCAATATATACTAGTATTGTGTCTTATCCATATTTGACTTATTGCCTAATGATATGTACTTTATTTAAAACAGGTGTAAACATGTTTAAATTCGATACATATTTTGACTTTAAACATGTTTAGATTTGGGGGATGTTGTGTTCAGGTGGTGTTTTGGGCTTTGTGTTTTCCGTTTATGATTTAAGCACATTCCTAATCATGTTTTGATTTTTTACTTTGTATATGTTAGCCTCACTGCTGTCAATAAGAATATAAAGAAATCATGACCAATGTCATCAGGTAAAACTGATCGGTCAATGATTGTTCCACTCTTGCAGGTGTTTTATGGCAGACAGGTGGAGGACATTTCCAAATTGACGCATCATTGACAAAAATAATGTCCGATGCAATTCACTATTTTGACTTGTACGATTTGTTCAGGTGATTGTGTAGGTGAACAATTGGCTTGTACGACTCCAACTATACGAAATAAAGCCACAAAACGCTTTCTATATCCAATACAAATCTCTGCATAAAGCAGAGTTGATTGTACGATTTCGACTAAATCACGAGCATGTGTTTTTTGAATCACTATCAAATAGTCATGACACCAGACTTTCGCGAAATGGTGAGCGTATCCTGCCCCACCCGTGGCACCCGTAACAAACACATTCAAAGGCAAGTCAATTGTTCACCTGAAAAAAAAACGTATCTCAAAAATTGTGAAATGTAAACACGAAAGGCTGTAGCTGCTGGAATATTGCTCGACAAGAAGGGAAAGTTGACTATTGGAAAGTTGAAGTCACCCCTCTTGTGCTTTTGAATCCCTTTTCTGGTGTCCCCCGCCGTGATATGGCTGGAATATTGCTAAAAGTGGCGTAAAACCCGACTCACTAACTCGGACCCCAATGGTGTTGGTAATGCTGTACATAGAGGATATCTAGAATATATAACTAATACATATAGCTCGGGATTCCAGGAATATTGCTGACTGCATCATCAAACTATAAACTAAACAACAAACACAGAAACGTTTGTTATTTGCTTTCGTCTACAGTTTGATTCCTTCTGTTGTCTTCACTTGTGATGAAAACATCACAACAAAGTCCCGGGTTCGAGTCCCACACGGGTATAATGTAAGAAGCCTCTTCTTGGTCCCGTGCGTGCAATACTGCCAAAAGTTTAAACCTATACTACCTCACTTACTCTGTAACTGTAGAATAATCATACTTCAAACCTACAATGTAATTATTATGCATATGTGCATATTATTCAAACGATGCACCCTTAAACAAACTCAAAATCAGTAAAGTAAACTAAAGACCACAAGCTAAATGTGTTTTGAACCCAGTCATCTGGTGTACGACTGTTCAATATATCATAATCAAGCAAAAATGCCATGTATACATGATACGTACATGCAACACTATTGTTTTCTTGTAACAACGACCCCGTTAGGACCAGAGGTAGAATGTGTCCTCTGCACCGCGTTGCGGGTTGTAAGAGTGACCCCGTTGAGATTCAGAATCAGAATCAGAATCAGTTTATTCTAAAAAAACACAAAAGGTGGTATACAAGAGCATATTACAATAAATAATTATGTATATGTACTAACCTAGCATTTTTAATACTAATGGACATTTTTACAATAAACCTCGATAAATTCTTTAGATCATGTGTGTTTGTTGTTGCTACGAGTTTTACAAATTTTATAATATTTTGCCATTCAGTATAATATGATGACAGAAATGTTTGCCTCTCTCTTTTTAAAAAATTACATCTGAATAAGTGGTGAAATTCATCAGCAATAGAAGGAGAATTACATTATTTACAGGTTCTATTTTCCTTTGGAATATTTTTCCATCGGCCAGTCTCATGGTAAATTATGATTACAGGTTCAAAATCGTAGTATTGGATTTTTGCTATTCGTTTTTGCAATAGAAGATATTTATCGAGAACCGGAGTGTCCTTTAAATGTTTATAATAGAATCCCTTAAAACTAGAATTAACGTCACTTCTCCATTTCTGAAAAAAATAATCTTGAAGTATTTGCTCTTCTTCTGACACTAGCCACTTTGTTGTGCAAATTGACGGATTGTTAAATACATAAGATAATCCAATACTGTCTAATATATCCATAACACATCTAACCCAGGGATTTAATGATGCAATAGTCTTATTCCTATTAATTGACAAATATTGATATAACAGCTGTGAAAGTTTATACACACCAGTTTGATATGTTAATTTGTGCCAGAAAGATATCATTCGTTTACAAATTATTATTCTTAACGGCAGCCTACGTAATTCGCCATATATCATATAAAGAGGAGTTGTATTTCTTAATCCTGTGATAAGTCTGAGGAATTTGAGGTGTATTCTTTCTATAATATCTAAATTTTCAAAGCCCCAGATTTCGGGACTATAAGTTAATATTGGTAATACCATCGTATCAAAAGCTGATAATACACAGTCCAAAGGTAAATTTAAATTTCTTTATTTTTTTATCAGACAAAAAATTGCTTTCAATGCATTTAGGGACTTAAGACTTGATACTAGTTTTCTATTCCTGTGAAGTACAATTCCTAAATACGTATCGACGTGTCGACGATATCTAGGGTTTTATCAGAATAGTGAAATTTATGTTTCGAATATTTCGATAGGCCACCACCGAAAATCACAATTTTTGTTTTATTTATATTTACATGTAATTTCCACTCTTCACAATATTCATTAGAAGTGTCTAAAGCTTTCTGTAAACATCCTGTTGATTCATCAAATAATACAGCATCATCTGCATACAATAAAATTATGAATTGGATCCATACAACTAAGTCTTTATCTTCATCGTAGTTGAGATTAACTCCTCCACACCCAGATTAGAACAGACCCCTAGCTACCTATGCTGGTGGTGAAAGGTTGCCTTAACGGATTTGGTGGTGAGGCTGGTTGCCTTGGTTGAAGGCGTGTCAACTTACGGCATAGACCATTGCTCAAAATATCAATCACTGTATTGTCTGGCCCAGTATCTATTATTTATAAGCCGCCATATGGTTGAGTTACACAGCATGCACACATACACCTGCTACAACAGTGTTATACATTGAAATATGGGCTTCGTCCCGAACACACAGACAATGTGATTCTGATTGTCAGAAGCAAGGTAGGGCAATGCATTTGGACTTGCTTATTTATAGGTGTTGCGGGGTTGCAGCATGATACATTCATTGCCTTTCATGTTCACACATGCTTTACACGTTAAACTCCCAGGATTAAGTGACGTGTCCCCAGTACCATTGAGGGTCATTTGTACACGAGAATGATTAAATGCCACACTAGAGTTACGAGATTGATCAAACACGATACCAATAAAGCTTTGTCGAAACTTTTGACCCGTGATGAAGTACAGGTAAAAATTGACAGCGTGGGTGGCATCACACAAGAAAAACGTCAACTGGTCAAGCAGCTGTTTCCTGGCGTAATTAAGAGACAATCGCCCAGGTATCCACGAGGAATGCACCAAGATGAAGATGGTCCTTGGTAAAGTGAGAATGAGAAACACCACAGCTACAGTTAGAAGCATGACGGTAATTTGCCTTTCGTATCGATTTAGATGAATACTCCTTTCACGTTCAGTCTCAGAGTAAAGGCGGCTTCTCCTCTGTCCGGACTTTCTAACCCTCAATGTGATCAATAGGTTACAGACAATTAGAATGACTGATGGAACGAACGAATAGAACGAGGCGTTAATCCAATACCATATCCTTTTATAAAAGAAATTGTACTTCTCCGCAATCCCGCATTGCATGCCATCATGAGACAGGGTGGTCCAGAAAGTGTGGGAGTATATCCCTGTTATAACCACACCGAGAATAATCATACTTAGACGAGCACGATTCAAGTTCCAGATAACGGTCACTCTTAATGGGATTGTAACTGCCATAAACCGTTCAATTGCCATAAACACGAGTATCCAATTGGAGTAAGTCACAAGGCAAAGATAAAGAAAATTCATTATTCTACAACCGGTGCTTCCTATAGCAACTTCGTGATACGTCAGCTGATGGTAAAGAAGCTTCTGAAGAATTGCCAGATTGTCTATGATAGCTAGGAGAGCAACATAGAATTTCGAGGTAGTCATTGGCTTCATCTTGCTGAGGGTGACAGTGCTGGCAATGTTCCCCGGGAACCCAAATGCAAAGATGATCCACAGATAATAATTGTTTATATACACCCCTGCTGCATATAATCTCTCATACTCATCTGCATCCTCCTCGTTAAAGTCATACTTGTCCAACAGATCAGATATATTATACGGAAATGTCCAATTGAGAGTCTCCATGTCGTATAGCAGATCCATTACGTCATTCAATAATCACAAAATGGAATTAAAAAGGTCCAGAGGTTTGAAAGGATGCGACATACGGAACGTACACGTATAGCGATGTCGCCACGGTGACACCAAATGATCCATTATCCATGATTTAGTTAAGGAAATGCTGTCTACGTCAATGCTTATTTTCTTGATGCATCTGAAGGATCAATGTTATAGCCAGGCTTGATTAATCATGCTGACGGTAACAGATTGTGTATGAAACCTATTTCAATATAGTCATATACACTTTCAGCTTAAGCTTATCAACAGGAGATGACTATTAAAAATGTCACCTTTCGTATTTCAACGCCAACATCAGCGGTGTTCGTCATCAGCGCTCTGACATTCAACCAGAAGCAAACCCTGCTGTAACTGGTATTAAAAGTATTTAACCGTTGACCACAAGAACGCTATGCCGTACCAAACGGGTCTTTGGTGTCACAACAGACCAATGGGCTAGAGTTCTACTGTCTCCAGCTTGGACGACGGGGTCGATTATGTCCTCTTCCACAGCTGATAGGTTCATCCCGTTCCATCCTCTCAGTCGAACTGAACATAGCGTGTAACAAGGGACCACTGTCACTGTGTTGATGAGATGTGTCAACCTGCAATTGTAAACGGGAACGATTAGCATCAGTTGTTGCATATATTTGGCAATAACAACATGTACAAATAACCCATTGTAAGAAGTGTGACTGAATGGTTTACCTGGTCTAGATTCTATTATTTACAGACCGCTGTCCTATAGCTGGAATATTGCTGAGTGCGGCTTTTAACAACGAACAAGCAAACATACTTACGACATCCTTGATTACGTATCAACGTAATTTAAAGTAGGTTGTTTCTTTAAGCACCAAACGGATTTGATTATTCCTGCTAACTTGGATCCACCCATAAACATAAGCTTAATGTGGGAGGAAAGCCTGAAGTGATGCAGGTCTTAGACGTGTACCACTGTGGTGAAATCCACGTTCACGGGCATGGCGCTGACAAATCTAGAAACATAATCGGGGCGAACAGGGATTCGAACCCACAATCAAAGCTTTCATGAGTATGTTGGTTCGACATAGTTATGACAATCCGCAATATCCAAGTTACACTACAGCGGTATGTAATCGAGTCTAGGTCAAACAAACCAGTGCAAAACAAATAGTGGTCGATAGCATGTGCAACGACTACCGCCGTCAAAATACGACAAACAATCGGACATGTCGAGCATTCTAACCATTCGACTCTTAGTCAGGCCTTATACAACAAGCATGGGGTAACTGTTTCTTCCTCAGTACCCTAACATGGGCCAGGTCATACATTTTAACCACGCCTTTAAATAATCGAATCTAGACCAGACAGTCCAGTGATTTACATCATGAGCATCGATCTACGCAACTGGGATACAATGACATGCGACAACCAAGTCAACGAGCCTGACCACCCGATACCGTTAGTCGCCACGTGTGGGTTGCTGAAGACCAATTCTAACCCTGGTTGTCACGGGGTATTTGTGCCAGAGAGGGAGGATGCTCTCAACTGCGAGCTCCTGCTACAGCGCCTTCTCATGAAACAGTAAGTGCAACAAATACCTGATATCATTGTGTTGATACGTCGCAACACATAGTCTGTTTACCAGAGGGGGCGGTGGGGTAGACTGGTGGTTAAAGCTATATGACTGCGATCTGTAAAAAAAAATCGAATCTGGACCAGACAATCCAGTGATTGACATCACTCGTATCGATCCACGCCATTGGTTTGGTTGGTTGGTTTGTTGTTTTACGCCGCACTCAGCAATATTCCAGCTATATGACGACGTTCTGTAAATTATTGAGTCTGGACCGGACAATCCAGTGATTGACATCGTGCGTATCGATCCACGCAATTAGGATACGATGACATGCATCAACCAAGTCAGCGAGCCTGACCACCCGATCCCGTTAGTCGCAAGCATGGTCGCCATTTACGGCAAGAATGGGAAGACCTAAATATGAAGGGCACAATATGATTTGATTTGATCTTATTGTACATCCACAGATCTCGTAAGGAAATTGTAACAATATTGACATGTTCTATTATGATTTACCAGGTGATCGCGAAAAGTGAGCGCATCCTGACCTATCAGTGTCACCCATGCGAACCACATGCAAATTCAAACAAATAAAGAGTTCACCTGAAAAACGCGGAAACATATGGTACAAGTCAAAGTAGGGTGATATATCACTTTGATCACTGATGCAGCAAATTTGGAAATGGGGAAAGTTGAAATGTCCACATCAGTAGCCTATCTCGAAAATATGTTGATACACCATACCTTTAAACATTGTACAAAAGCTCCACACATGAACCGTTCCCTTTCCTGAGAACTGAGAGATGGATGCCTCCAGGAAGAACATTGGGAAAGCAGTGATGATGAGAAACAGCACATATGGGATGAGGAAGGCTCCTGTAATGAAGGAATGGTGTGTGTGATTTGGGACTTAACAACACATTGTAAGAGCACTGCGGACATTTCATGTCAAACATATGATCACAACTCTCGTGAGACCCAGGTCCTGCATGTCATTATAAGGTCTTAATTGTGGCCTTAAGTTATAGACACATCATGATAAAATTAATGTGTCAACATTATCACGTTTTATGGTAAACAGGAAATATGATCTTGCCTTAATCTTTAAAAATTTACATAAATACCCGACCTGCACTGCCTTAGGTACGTTTGCATTGATGCTGGCCAAGATGTCTTGGAATAAATTGGCAGCTCCTTCCCACAACTACGACAGCCGTTTCAAATACATCACCATCGAATAACCATTTCCTGTTTGCTCCATTTCAGCCATCAAACATGACAGTATCACGTCCTTCAGCCCGGCAGCTGATGAGTGAGTGAGTGAGTTGGGTTTAACGCCGCTTTTAACAGTATTCCAGTTATATCACGGCGTGTCATCTTAATGTGTGAGGAAAGCCCCAAGTGATGCAGGTCTCAGACGTTTACAACTTCGGTGAAACCCACGAGCACGGGTATGGTGCTGACAAACCTAGAAACATAATCGGGGCGAACCGGGATTCGAACCCACGATCAAAGGTTTCTGGCGTGCCCAAGGGACGCAACTCTGCACAGCGAATCGCGGCGCCTTAGACGACTGGGCCACCCGTGCCCCCGGCAGCTTATGAAACATTGACAAGTTTTCAGCAGCACATCTTCGTGGTGTCTGTGCATTGCTCATATCTAAATAAATGTGTCCTTCTTTATGTCCAAGTTTAATGAACTGGTATTATCTGCATGAAAATTCATAGTTCTAAGGTGCCGAAATTGTCAGTATAGAGTTGTGTCCCTTTGGCGTACCAGAAACCTATGATTATGGGATCGGCTCACGGTTCGTCCTGATCATGTTTCCAGGTTTCTAAGGCCATACCCGCCATTGCGGCCGGGTGTCACCAAAATGGTCTCCATGTCAATCCGGCACGCCTTGAAGAAATTGAAATACTGTTCAAAGCATAATTAAACTCATAACGGGATCGGGTGGTCAGGCTCGCTGACTTGGTTGATATCAATCACTGGATTGTCTGGTCCAGACTCGATTATTTACAGACTGCCGTCATATAGCTGGAATATTGCTGAGTGCGGCGTTAAATAACAAACCAACCAACCAACCAACCAAGTTAAACTAATCTCACTTATTAATTCCAGATGGGTTCCACAATGTCTTGAGGGGAGGTGAAATGGGGTGTAACGTCGCGTTCAAGATTATTGCACTTATATAGCGACGTGCATGTACATGTGTGTGTGCGCGTGTGCGTGTGCGTGTGGCTGCTTGTGCTAATCAGGGCTAATGCCGATTTTATAGAGTTAGCCCACTTAGATAATATACATAGAAGAGAGCATTCACTAAAAGTAGTGTGCAAAGAACAAACTCATGATAATGTTTTTGCCGGAACACGGGTCTGCAAAAGTAGCGAAATATCGCTAACGGGAGTAAAAGAGTAAATGAGAAGGGCTAAACGCCGCTTCGAACAACACTTCAATTTATGCTACGGCGTCAAAGGTTGGGTGGGTGGGTGAGTGAGTGGGGTTCATGCCGCTTTGAACAGCATTACAGTTATATCACGACGACTCAGCCCGGAATGATGAAGGCCTCAGACGTTTACCACTTTGGTGAAACCCACGAACACGGTATGGTGCCCACAAGCCAGGCATATTAATCGAGGCAAAGGGACGCATCAATTGCATAAACGACTGTTCCCACAGAGGAACATAGACTGCATATTTGAACGTTACTGATCGTGGCCGAAATCAAATAAACCCCGTGAAAATCCGGGTTAGAGTTGGTCTTCAGCAAGCCATGCTAGTCATAAGAGGCTACTGACATGATCGGATGGTTGGACTTGCTGACATCATATCCCAATTGATGCTCATGACATCAATCACTGGATTGTCTGGTAGAGACTCGATTGTTTTACAGACTACCATCATACAACGGATTATGCTGAGTAAGGCGTTAAACAACAATTCTACCATGAATTTGGACATAACTCCATTCTGATGGTCAATAAGAAGTTGTCAAATCACAATAAACCCCAAACGGCCGCATCACCGCGGAAGCTGCGCGTTCGGTTCCCAATTCAATTTAGCGCGGTTAAATCTACAGGTAACCTTACTCTACATTGAAACCACAGTATGTTTATCTCCTATACAAACTAAATGAATGGTTAATCGTCATGTGAGTGCGTGCTACTCTGACATAATCCGCGTGTTGTTGACAACAAACTCGGACCTATTGTCTCACGGTGAATCTAGGAACTTCTAATTTGGATGATGCTTTCCTTCTCCATTGAATTCGATTCCTCAGCAGCTCAGTTTTAAAACCTAATGTACAGCCCGCTGGAATAATTGTATATCCCACTCGCTAATAATTCATTCTGGTGTAGAAGACGTTTCTAATCAGATAAGTCACGTCCAACGGTGAGTCAGATAACATGCACTCCTCTCCATCACGCATCAACCAATTCCCAGCGTTACTTGCTTTGATAGGAATGGAATACTGTGCAGACAGGGGATGCTTTTGTAATAAAGGTGAATTATTAACACAGTCCTTCATGACTCAGACATGCGTAATGTGAATGAATATGTTATGAATTGATAAAAAAAAACATAACATAAGACCTAATCATGCTAAATGTAGAGTCCTCTGCACGGTCATAAGCATGTGTTTATAAATAGGTGAGGTGAG